TAGGATTGCCAGCTCTGGGTTTAGAAACACCTGGAGATTTTGGGAGTGGAGCCTGGGGAAGGCAGGATTTGGGGAGGGGCTTCAGCAGGGTACAATGCCACGGAGCCCATCATCCAAAGCAGCCATTTTCTCCAAGGAAACTGATCTCTGCCGTCTGGAGATCAGTTGTAAAAGCAGGAGATCTTCAGGTCCCACTTGGAGATTATATGCAAAAGTATATAGCACCGTGTATAACAAGTGTATGTTTAAGGTAGATTGGCTGCCTGATAGAACTTGAGAGATATGCTATCCTAGATAGGTTATTAAGTTTGCCGCAAGGGCTCCGATGCGACCCTAGAAAATATGCTGCTATCTTAAGAGTCTTGTGCTCACAAAGAGTAACTATTGTGCCTTATGTCCTTTATATATTTACAATGCGAAGTATAAGTTGTTGCTATTGGGTTAATGTTTCTATGACCTTTATGGCTTTGTTCCGTGGAACCTCTCTTTGATTGTATATTTGATTGCATTGGTAGGATAAGTGGATTTCTGTAACTTTTGCTGTTTGTTGTTATACTTTATGGTTGAATACGAATAAAATGTTCTGGTTAAAAAAAAATATATATTTTTTAATTTATACTTATGTAATTTTCCAAAAAAATGAAAACAAAAACAAACATACAACAAAATGTTATACATAACGAGGAATAATCAAGAATGAAACAACAGTCATACCATAAGCAACGCAGTCGGCATATAAATACAGTCACATTATTTAAAGTTTCAAGTTCCTTAGATTAGAAGTATAACAAACTTTGATAATACTTGTTTTTCAGTATAACACCCCCCTCAGTTAGGTATTCAAGTACAGGAAACCAAGTCGCCTGAATTTTTTTTTGATACTTACCGCAAGTAAAGTCAGTACTAAGGTACGTTTTGCTTTATTTTCAGGTATGCCAGGCCAAGCATCTAGCAGAACTGTTTCTGGGCGAAAAGGTAAGTCAATCGCTGTGATACTTTTAATCTGTATTAGAATGTGTCTCCAAAACTCATTTATAACTGGACAATGCCACCAAAAATGAATATAGTCTGCTACTAGCCCACAATTTTTCCAGCACAGTTTTTGGAGAGTAGGGTTAATTCTGTGTAGCCTAGCCGGTGGTAGATACCACCAGTTCAGAACCTTAAACGAACTGAATTTTCCTTTATATATCTCACAGTCCTTGAAAGAGACTGTATTGGAAATGGGTAAATTACTAGAGTCCCATGGGACTAGTGATTGTGAAACTGACAAGGTGCTGTTTGGATGTTTGAACCAAATGTAAACCTGCACTTCCATGTATTGTATGGGTGAAACCTATTCTTGATAATATTTGACACCAATATTTATATAACAGTATAGAAAAATAAAAAAGAAAAAAGAAAAATAAAAAGCACAAAATTGATCTACCTTAAACATACATCTATTATACACAGAGCTATATACTTTTGCGTATCTTCCTAACACTGTGTGACCCTCAGTTTTTGTATTTCCCACCTGGAGATTGGCAACCCTAGGGTGGTACCTTCTGTGATGCATCCTACTAAGAGAAGTTCTTATGACCAAATTACTAAGTTCATTTAAGATGCTATTAATTTTAAGCATTTATTGACTGCATCTTCAAGAAAACTAGGGGTTTGATCCTACCAGATAGATCTGTATATTTTTCTACCCATGCAATATTAATTAATAGGTAATTTTCGGTCTGGTTCCTTATTTACATTGATTTTTATGATATCTAGAACTACTTTTTAGGTTATGTGCTTAAGAAGACTTTAAGGATTCTCCGCACTTCAACTCAATTACAAGTCTACAATATCTACTGAACATGAAGAGACTTTCTAATATAAGTAGGTTTGTTTATATGTATATTTATTATATTATGAATAGAGATTCGCTTTTTATAGTGTAATTTTTTCCTTTCCCTCTTTTTCATTCATTTTTTCACAGGATATTTGTGGATATGTTTGTATGCAGGTATTATATGATGTCTGTTGTATTAATCAGTAGCTTTTAGCTTGATGCTACATATTGCTTCACTTGATGAAGGTCAAAATGCATTTAATGTTTTGTTGTTTTATCAGATTCTTTGACCAACTAAATATGTGTTACTTGGTGATGTGGTCAGTATGAATTAGGTTATCTGCCTTATTGGTAAAGGAATTTATGTATACTACAGCAATTTTATGGTGTGTATTGTCTACTGGTCATCATTTTATTGAAATTAATGGATGATTAAAACTCATTATTAGCTTTGTTTTTATAATTTGTATATATTTTGAGGTTTGTTCTAACCCTTTTGGCTATTTGAGCAAGTAAAAATATGCCACACCTAGGACAAGCAGTCTTACAAAAAACAGTAAAAGAATAGGGAAAATTGTGTCCCAAGCCATTAAGTGTCTGGATGAGTAGAACACTTCTGAGGGACAGCAATATTGACACCACACCAATAAATAAAATAAAGCACATCTGGGGATGATGACATTCCACAAATGGGGTACAATAGAAAAGGCCTTGTCCCAAGTTGCCATCCACAACTTCTGAGGGCAGGCAAGTAACTACAGCACAGTCTCCAATGCTGATAATACGGGAGAAGGCAATCTTTCAGGTTATCTGGCCCAGGTTAGTGAACACCTTGCAGTTCAGAACAGCCTTCGACTGACTACCCAACTTTACTGCAGTTAGTGTTTACTGCTTGTGTGTGATTTTCAAGTTATATTTGCTTAATTTTGTATTGTAACAGGAAGTTAGCTGCCTTGACTAGGAAGGTTCAACTTTGAAAATGTATAAACAGGAAGAATCATGAACTGCACAATAGTGTTGCAAAGTAGATATAGATTTAACAAATATTGGAAAAATATGTAATACTGTACAAATCGATGCAAAATGGGAACTACTCAGAAGAAGAAGTTTATAGGATATGCCTGCATAACCAGAGTTCAACAGGTAACTCTTGCATCACAACAGTTTCTAGCAATGATTAGATATAGGCACAGGAACGTCCAGAAGAATGCAAAGACATTATGACAATTTAGGGCTTTGCAGGAGTAATAAGGGGCAGCTTAAAAAGTTAGGATCAAATCTGAGTGGCCTTGAGGAACAGCTGAACTATGGAAGACTCTTAAAAAGGGAGCAGGATTGTCATCGATTCCATTGTGTTTCATATTATTACCTTTTTCTTATTACACTGTTTTCTATTTTTGTAATTCCATTTTTTGTAATGCATATGGCATATTATATTCTATATACATGCATTGTTTCTAAGTTTTGAGATCCTAGTCCCACACTGTTTGTTGGATGTCTCAGGACTGCATTCTCTTACACTGTGCAATCCACCTTGAGCCTCAATGAGAAAAATAAAGCCAGTATACAAGAGTGACTTTCATATGAGGCAATGAGACTGACCAACAAAACTGAACAAACAAGATATCACTCCTGGATCTTCTTTGTATATACTGAGAAATCACTCAGTTCAAACCAGCACTCCTATTGGACATGTTAAAAATTCTCCAGTGGTGATTCCCAGCCCTCACCCATCATACCTGAGCAAGTAATACCCAGTACTGCTCATTCAACCACACCTACAGTCAACAGACATCTGCTCCAATATTAGTGTAAACCGTTTTTACTCCAAAGCTGAAGCCAGCAACCAACCTATAGCAAGGTTGCAAAGATACATCACTACTACTTTATTTTGGCAACCCTCCTTTGTCAATAAGAGATCCAGTACTGAACTGGAAGAATGCATAAGGGTCTGTTCCAGGAACGCTCTGAAGGATTTACCCTAAATGTGTTAATAGATTAGTTACACTGTAACTAACAGTTCGAAAGCAAGAAATTGCAAGTAGATAAATAGGTACCACTTCAGTGGGAAGGTAACAGCGTTCCGTGCGCCTTGGTGTTTAGTCATGCTGGCCACATGACTACGGAAACGTCTTCGGACAGCGCTGGCTCTTCGGCTTTGAAACGGAGATGAGCACCGCAACCCTAGAGTCGGACTCGACTGGCTTTCGAGCAAGGGAACCTTTACCTTTAACAATTTTCATCTCCTCTTTAACCAGCATATCTTACACAAGGCCCAGAGTGGTATATGCAGATTCTTTGTTTCAATGCAAGGATATGAGTAGAAGAGTTGTAATGATAATTTTTGAAATAAAATTTACGATATTCTGCAGAAATTAAAGAGATGCAATTTCATTTCTGTATTCTTTCCTAGTATTCTAGGAAATCTTCAAAGGATCAGAACATGGCTTGAATCCAAGGGAGGATCAGCACCAAATGCTCCATACTCCAAATGAGGGGGTGGGACAAAAATTCATGCTCTGTGGGCAGAAATCCTTTTGTCAGATACACTCAATCATATCCAAGCCTATGCTTTGGAGGTGCTTCTTGGGATTCAGGAAAAACTGTCTGTCACCTTCTGGTCTCTCATTTCAAGAAAGCTACAATATACAGATTTTGAGCTTCTCATCATCCCTGAAATGATTTCCTATATCCTCCTACCCTTTTCCCAGTGTAGAAAAAAAGACCATAAACATGTATCTTGGCATGTGCAGCAAAGTCTGGATTGGGTAGATCTGATAGGTGGCAGAAGCTACAGGGTACTGGTTAAGTAGACCAGCTTCTAGGACAGATGTTGGAGTAGATCTTTCAGATCTAAACATACTGCTAAAGAACTACACTGAAGCTACAATCTTGAGTAATCATACTCAGGAGTAAACACTACAGGAATCAATAGCTGCTTCTCTCACCCAAATAGAAAATGGGTGGGACAAGAGGGGGTTATGTGGTGGTGATTGAAGTCTACTTCCGGGGAAGGCAACCGGCCTAGTATAAATTCTCCAAGACTTTACCAAGCACTGCCCTAATCGTACTTATAATCAGAGAAAGACCTCCAGGGGATCAACAGGACCTCCAAGTAAACGTGAAAAATTGGGAAGAAGAGACACTTCCTTTAAAAACCAGAACAAAAACAGATTACCTGCAATTCTTCTTTAGGGGGCTCTTGGAACAGAAATGGCACCGCTTCAGAGCCAGTTGCTTTTAGCGTCCCACTCCCAAAAGTTGAGGAGGGGAAGAGTTCAGGAAAGAACGGTGAAAAAAAAGAAGTCATGCAAACAATGGGAAAGCACAAAAAGGAGGGGGGGAGTTCACCAAGCTGGGCGGGGCCTAATCCTTTTTAAGGGGAGGCCGAAAAAGTCGAGCACCATGAGGGAACCGCCGGGCTGGCGGCAATAACCTCTTTCACCAGCCCTTACGGGGCCCCTTCACCGCTCCGCCCGGGAACGGACTCCCCCTGAACCCCGCCTTGGCATTACCTGCCCAGCCAGGTGAACGGCGTCCGAGGCCCCTCCCTCACCTGAGCCCAGGTGAGATCACGTGAACACTACGGGTCGCCGCTCGGGACGTGCTTCTTCGGGAAAGCGTTTCCAACCTCTGTGGGTTTCATATGCTTCTACGTCCCGCCCATTTTTTTCGGGCGTTGGCACAGCTCCTGGCAGCTTCTCCCGCCCCTTTTGCAGGGGTGAACTTCAGACAAATGCGGCAAAATTGGGATGGTGGACAATGCTCCCTCTAAGCTGTTGAGTCCTGTGAGCAAAAAATCTACTTTGGGAGCTCCTGGCATTAAAGTTGTGAGCAAGCGATTGGGCTACTGCATCAATTAGTTTGCTCTGGAGCCCTCCTTCCTGAGGCTAAAAAACTGTGAGCTGACTCACACTAACTCAGCTTAGAGGGAACATTGAGGTGGATATTATTTTTATTATTGTATCTATGAATTGCATTATTGTTCAGCCCTTCCTTCAAGTAGTTTACATGGGCTTTTAATAAAGTATGACAACGGCTGTTATTATTGGTGGAAGTGGTAGTAGATCAGCTTGTGTTTTATACATTACAACAGAGCTTTTGACTGTGGACCATGACAAGCTATGATTGGTTTAAAAGAAATGGGTGTGCCACAGCATCTGATTGATGTGCAACCTGCACTCTGGTCCAGAGGCTACTATTATGACAGAATATGAAGAAACAAAATGATTTCCAAGTGGCAAAGGTGTCAGACAAGGATGTATTTCCCTGTCTGTTCAATCTATATGCAGAACATATAATAAGGAAAACTCAATTAGATTTAGAGGAAGGTGGAGTGAAAATTAGTGGAAGGAATATTAACAGTTTGAGATATTCTGATGACTCCACTTTACTGGCAGAAAATAGTGAAATCTTGGAATGACATTGACTACTGATGAAAATTGAAGCAGAAAGTTCCAAAGCAGGATTACAAGAAGAAGAAGAGGAGATTGGATTTATACCCCGCCCTTCACTACCCAAAGGAGTCTCAGAGCGGCTGACAAACTCCTCTCCCCTCCCCTCCCCACAACAGACACCCTGTGAGGTGGGTGGGGCTGAGAGAACTCTGACAGAAACGGCTCTTTTTCAAGGACAGCTGTGCCAGAGCTTGTGACTGACCCAAGGTCACATCAGCAGGTGCAAGTGGAGGAGTGGGGAATCAAACCCGGTTCTCCCAGATTAGAGTCCGCACACTTAACCACTACACCAAACTGGATATTACAGCTGAATATCAAGAAGACAAAAGCCATGACTACTGGGGAATCACACAACTTTAAGGCTGATGATGAAGAAACTGAAATTATTCAATATTTTCTATTCCTTGGCTCAATCATCAATGAAAAGGGAGACTGAAGAAATCAGAAGGAGATTGAGACTAGCATGGGCAGCCAGGAAGGACCTAAAAAAAGATCCTTAAATATAAAGGTATGTTGCTGGTGACCAATATCAAGATAATACGTACTATAGTATTCTACTATATATTGGTGTAAAACTTGGGCAGAGAAGAAAGCTGACAGGAAGAAAATTGATTCATTTGAAATGCAGAGTTGGAGAAGAGTTTTATGGATATCATAGCCCAACAAAATGTTCCAGATCAGGGGTGTCAAACTCATTTCTTATGAGGGCTGGATTTGACATAAATTGGACTTTGTCTGGCCAGACCATGTGAGTCATAAAATGTAATGCCAGGTAGCAGAGATAATAACTTTATACAGGACACAGAAAAACACAAAGATATTATAGCAGCTATTCCATTGGAGCCCCACACTAGGGGCTAATGTTTCTCTGCAAAACTGAAGTTCCTTGAGTTTGCAGAACTCTATATTTTAACCCTGGCTGGTCCCAAACCGCCCCTCCCCCAAAAAAATATAAACTACAAATATAAATGGCCTGAGCCTAGGACCCAGGGGAAGAACATGACCGAGCATTGCAGGCGTGCCCCCCCCCCCTACTCAGAGTGGCAGTGGCTCTCCAGGGTCTCAGGGTTTTTTTTTTAAACAGGGTGGTTTGAGATAATAATGTTGGGTGTCCTCTTCAGCACTTGTTCTGCTATTATTCCATTGGCGCTCCACATTAGGAAGGGATGTGTGTGTGTCAAAACTAGTATTTCTCTGCAAAACTGGAGTCCCTTGAGTTTACAGAACTCCATGCTTTAACTCTGGCTGGTCCCAAACCTTCCCTCACCTTAAAATGTGCCTGCCGAAACTGCAAAGCCAGTTTTAAAATAAAAAAGCACAGGGATCACAGCAGAAGCCAAGCCCCCCCCCCCGTGACAAGGACTACGGAGGCTTGGAGCAGTGGCTGGGAAGTTTGGCAGCCCTGCCCTCTGCTTGCTGCTCTTAGAGACAGCTCCGCCCCTCTGCTCTTTATACTCCCACGCCGCTCAAGCTGAGAATAGTGAGGTTGGGCAGGGGAGAGAAGAGAGCCCCACTCCCGGGCCGTATTAAAGGCCTGACCCGGCCTGCGGGCCGCAGGTTTAACACCCCTGTTGTAGATCAAATCAAGCCTGAACTCTCCCTAGAAGCTAAAATGACCAAACTGAGGCTATCATACTTTGGTCATACTGTGAGAAGACAAGAGTCACTGGCAAAGACAATAACGTGAGGAAAAGTTGAAGGCAGCAGGAAAAGAGGAAGACCCATCACGAAATGGATTGATTCTATAAAGGAAGCCACGGCCCTCAGTTTGCAAGACCTGAGCAAGGCTTTTAATGATAGGACGTTTTGGAGGTCATTAATTCACAGGATCGCCATAAGTCAGAAGCCTTGACGGTACTTGAAACACAGTCGTAGTAATGTCACTATGATAATAGTAACAAATCTAAGCCTAAATGTGTTCTTGGAATTAACCCTGCTCTCTGTTTCCAAAATGTAAGGGCAGTGTGTTGCAATTATTTAACAATAAGGAAAGGCGCTTTGCAGATGGTCATAGGCACTCCCATATGACGACTTTGGCTGCTCTGCACTGGTAACTAATATCACCTGTTTTTAACAGACATTAAGCCTCTGTCATCTCTAGGGGTGTTGGCAACCTTATTGTGATGAGATATTGTGTAAGACTGCTCATGGATCACAGCATCTTTTTTGTTCCTCTGCCTGTCAAATAGGGGTGACCTTGAGCCAGTCACACTCTTTAATCTACCTCAAAGGGCTCTTGTGAGGATAAAAGGGAGGCAAGGGGAACGATGTAAGTCATTTTGGGTCCCCACTGGGGAGAAGGGGGGGGGAGATAAATGAAAAATAAATAACAAATAAAAGCTTCCAGATCTTGAGCATAAATAAACTACTGAAAACTAAACATATTTAATTCAGGAAATGATACAAAACTGGAAGAGTGCATCCAGCAGATGGCAGGCTGTACGAATTCATATCTTCCACAATTCCTGGAGAAGTTTAAAAGAGCTCTTCCAACCAGTGCACCAAAGATCTTCCATTTAAAAAGCAAGCATTTACCTTGACATAACTTCCTTTGAAAATATCAATGGAATTTTGCAATAACTCTTTCCACCTGTGTTCTCAGTGCTATGGGACATTCACACACCTCATATTCATAGCAGAATCACTGTTTCCTTTCCTGACAGAGATGACTGTGCCTTGAACAGCTGCTTCAGCCTGGGGATTCTTCGTAAATTTGTAGTTGTATAACTCCTGCAGCAAGTTCACTGTAAGTTCTCTGTACAGGAGCTATGCAAATAGTACCGGTAGTCTCACACAATTATTAAAAATTGTTCAGACTGCAAGTTATTCAGTAGCTATGGGATATTGAACTACAACATTATCTGTATGCTTTGGATGCAGAGGATCCTAGGTTCAACCTCTGGCATTTCCCAGTTGTTTTTTTAAATGTTCTCTTGACAGGGTTTAGAACAGCCTACGTGAGGCCAGTGTATCTGTACATGTGGACCAAAGAGCCGAATCAGCAGAAGTCAACTTCATATGCCCTGCTGGAGTTGTACAGCCACATCTAGTTGTTATTCAGCAGTAAACCAATGGTAAAGTGCTAGTGCAAACATCGCTTTATGTGCTAGGTACAACCAGTTGTGGATCAGACTTGAAGGGCATTTGGGTTAATTTGTGCTAGCATTCTGCTGCAGAATGAGTCACTCCACTCCTCTTCTGAATAAGAACACAAGAACATAAGAGAAGCCAATGTTGGATCAGGCCAATGGCCCATCTAGTCTGTCACACAGTGGCCAAAAATACCAGGTGCCATCAGGAGGTCCAGCAGTGGGACCAGGACACTAGAAGCCCTCCCACTGTTGCCTCCCCCCCCAAGCACCAAGAATACAGAGCATCACTTGCCCCAGACTGAGAGTTCCTATGTATACCTTGTGGCTAATAGCCACAGATGGACTTCTGCTCCATATGCTTATCTAATTCCCTCTTGAAGCTGTCCATGCTGGTAGCTGCCACCACCTCTTGTGGCAGTGAATTCCATGTGTTAATCACTCTTTGGGTGAAGAAGTACTTCCTTTTATCTGTTCTAACCCAACTGTTCAGCAATTTCATTGAGTGCCCACGAGTCCTTGTATTGTGAGAAAGGGAGAAAAGGTAACTTCCATGCCTGACCTTACAGTACAGCCAGCAACTTCTGTTTGCGGAGCTAGTCTATCCTTTCAGGACTTCTATCTGGGGTTCCCCCCATACTGAAATTGCTTCCCAGGAGGGAATAACCGACAAGAAAGTTCTCGCATGTAGTATTCAGTATTTCTACAAAACTTCACATGTGCAATCATTATTTGTGAAGGACCATGGGATGGAAGTGTTTTCCTGATGGTTAGTGGAACACACGGAAGAGCCTTTGCTGATTACGGCCAAGCAAGGATTGCTGAAAGTAACCTGCACTTTAGGTCACTATGTATGTGGGAAATCAGATGTGCTTCTTCACTAGCACATTCAGGGCCCAGGAACGTGCCAGCCAGTGTGTTGTAGTGGTTAGAGTGTCAGAGTGGGAGGCCCAGGTTCAAATCCTCTCTCTGCATGGGTGACCTTGGGCCAGTCACACACTG